GCAAAGGCAGGGACCGTCGGCTCCGCCACCGCCGAATTATACGAATTCTCATGTTTCGCAGTCGAACGGCATCCCCACCGCCGCGAAAGAAACGGGCCCTGAAGGAAGCGGGCCCAGAACCCTGGAGTTCCCGCGAGGACCAGTTCGATCGTTTTTCGGCTGCCTCGGGGCCCGCCGACGACACGGGGACCCGAAAGCGGGAAAAACGTGCCACGGCCCACTTCCCGCAGGACATGCACATGCGTCCACCGCGGCGCCTGCCGCCAACCAGGCGCAGAGCGAGGCTCAGCGCGTCCGGAAAGGGGCATGGGAAAAATGCGCACGACGTCCACAAGCAAATGTTGTCCGACACCGACAGCGGCCGCTGCTGGGCAGGGGACTCGCTGCGTCGGACTGACACCTTCCGCGGCGACACCCACAGGATGCAAAATTGCCGTTCGTCCTCCTCCTCCTCCTCCTCCTTCTCCTCCTCCTGTTCCTCCTCATCCTCCTCCTCAACCTCCCCCTCCTCCTCCTCCTCGTCCTCCTCCTCCTCGCCCTCCTGCTCCTCGTCCTCACCCACCTAGTCGTCCTCGTCCTCGTCCTCCTCCTCCTCCTCCTCCTCCTCCTCCTCCTCCTCCTCCTCCTCCTCCTCCTCCTTTTCTTCCTCCTCCTCCTCCTCCTCACCCTCGTCGTTCATGCCGTTTGCCATCATCCGCGGCACGGTGGTTCCCCGAGCTCTCCCCGAGCCCTGGCTCGCGTGATTAAAAAAGATTCGCGCCCCGCGGGAGTTATTCATCAGCACCGGGGGGTCCATCACATGTTAATCACAAGCTGACATCCGTCATCATCCCCATCATCATCACCACCATCATCGCCAACACACTCATCAACACCACCCACCATCATTACCACCCTCACCATTCCCTCCGCCCTCCCAGAGGCGCCCGCAGTCCTCGGGGAATCGTCATGGTTCTGCCTTGCTGAGGCCAGCGGAACTGCATGAATTTCTGGCACGTATCTCGGGGAGTTCCCCGCCGGTCCCCGCGGGCTCCCGGTGCCTTCCAGGACTGCACGAGGCCGGAGTCCTGGAGGCACAGGAGGAGGAGGAGTGGCAGCGACGAAGGGAGGCAATGAAAAGGAAAAGAGGAAGGCAGGCGGGGCAGGGAGGAGGACGACCTGAGAAAGCGTAAAGGGAAAGTGGGCGTTTCGGGATAGGCGTATTCTATGTAGGCATATATAGGTACACGTAGAAACGTATATCTATCAATGGATGCATGTATGCTAGCCAGCGTGGACCCCAAACAGTGGTTTCTTGCAGTCTATGTAGTGCAATATGTGACGTGAGTTATGTGGTGCAAGCTATGTGATGCAATCGATGTGGTAGGAGTTAACGTACTCATCTGTGTGGTGTGAGCTATGTGGTATAAGCTATGTGGTGCAACATAAATTGTGTGAACTATGACGTGTAAGCTATGTGGCGCAACATATGTGGAGGGAGCTAACGTACTCACACACGCGGTGCGATATCTATATATATATATATACATACATACATGCATCAACATAAACATACATATATTTATATGTGTATGGGGTGCACGCGACGTGGTGCAATATATGTGCTAAGAACTAACGTACTTATAGATGTGGTGTGAGCTGTGTGATGTAAGCTGCCGGCGTAATCGGTCAAGTGCAGTCGATTGCAATCGATGTGAATGTAGTCAATTAGATTGCGAGGTGTAAGCTATGCGGTGAAATAGATGTGCTACGAGCTAACGCACTCAACTATGTGATGTGAGCTATGTGGTGCAATATAGGCAGCGCCATTGATGTGGTAGGAGCTAGCGTGCTAATATATGTGTGGTGCGCAATTTAGCCTAAGCTATGTGGCAGAATCTACATGGTAGGAGCTAACATACTCATCTGTGTGGCGTGAGCTATTTGATGCAAGGCATGTGATACAGTATATGTGTGTGGTGCAGAAATGTGATGTAGGCTATGTGGTGGCATCGATGTGGTAAAAAATACCCAAATTTGCGGGGCAACATATGTGGCGTAAGCCATGTAGTGCAAAAATGTGGTAGGAGTTCACGTACCGATCTACGTGGTGCTGAATATGTGGTATAAGCTATGAGGGTCAACCGATGTGCTAAGATCGAACTTACTTGCATATGTGGTTTGAGTTATGTGGTTTAAGTTGGTGAAAACAGTCGAGAGCAATCGACTGCAATCGACGTGGTTATAGTCGATTCGAGTGCGTGGTGTAAGCTATATGGTGTAAGCGATGTGGTAGGAGCTAACGTGCTCATCTATGTGGTTTGAGGCATGTGGTGTGAGCTATGTGGTGCAACCTGTGTGTTAGGGGCTGACATGCTCACCTATGTGGTGTGAGCTATGTTGTGCAAGCTATGCGGTGCAATATATGTGGTAGCAGCTATAGAACGAACTCATATGTGTGGTGTGAGCTATGTGTATAAGCTGTGTGGTGCAATGGATTACAGTCGATTGCAATCGATCGGTTTGAGTGCAATCAATTGGAGTGCAATCGATTGGGTCGCAATCGATCGATTGTATTGCAATCGATCGGATTGCAATCGATTGGATTGCAACGGGAAGGGGGGGGCAACGGGGTGGCGGCCGCTGGCGGCGACGAGGCGGCAACGAGGCGGCGACGGCGGCAACAAGGCGGCGGATCCGACAAACAAGCTCCGACGGCGAGCGGCGACGAGGCGGCGACGAGGCGGCGACGGGGCGGCGACGGCGGTAGAAAGGCGGCGGATCCGACAACGAGCTCAGACGTCGGGCGGCGACGAGGCGGCGACGGGGCGGCGATGGCGGCAACAAGGCGGCGGACCCGACAAACGATCCAAGCTCCTTAGAAGTTAGGCAAGAACCCGCAAGTGAGTGCAAACACTGCTTGGGGAATATGTGCATGCACAAAGATACACATGTAGACCTACACATGTGTACCTATACACAGATTCCGAAAGGAAATTGAAAGAGAACGGCGAGGACGATGACAACGACGATGGCGATAACGACGTCGACGAGGACGGCGACTGCAATGGCGAAAATTGCGACAGAAGCGCGCACAAACTTACAGAAGCTGATGAAGCGAAGCGAGAGGATGGCATAGCAAGCAAATTCAATCACCTTAAGCGGATTGGTGGAAAGAAGAAGCGGTGAACGAGACAAAAAATACAGGACGACGACTGCAAAAAAACAAGAAGCTGATATTCAGAGTGAGGGGGCCGAACGATCATTCACTGTCCCTAGATAGGTGGCCGAAGTGGGGTTCAACAGTGCGGATTGTTATTGCGTGGATGCGCTGCGTTGTTGCGCCGTTCTTGCACTGTTGTCGTCGTTCTCGCCCGCGACCCGCCCGCGACCCACCCACGACCCACCCCGCGAACACCCCGCGACCCACCCCGCGACCCACCCTGCGACCCAGCCACGACCCACCAGCAACCCATCCACGGATGACTTGACGAACAAATCGGCGACTGCGGCTGACTCGTTGTGCATTGTGTAAAAAATCGGCGCCTGCGGCGGGCTTCGTCAGAGCTTCGCAGACTGCAACGACCTCGCCACTCACTCACTCTCATCCGCACCTTCGGGGTGCTATATCGACCGCATTATGGCATTCCCGCATGGGTAGAATGAGAGGCGAAAGTCTGCGAGCCAAATAAACAGGACAAGCCGGTAACGCTGTATTTCCTTGAGAACTCTTCGGCACGCGAGAGACCAACGGACACGACAACACAAGAAGAGAGGGTATGCATAGCAAGAAAAATCTGCCGATCCCCCGCTTGCCAGTGGTGAACAGACGTGTGAGATGATTGGCTGTGCCCCTCCCCCTTTCCCCCTCCCCTGGGGTCCAAAATCTCGTTTGAGGGGGGGTAGCCGAGTGGGGAGTCCAAGAACTCGCTGGCGCTTCTCCCGGGCCATTGGCGTCTCTAAATACAGCCTCCACCGCATCCACGCTGCCCAAGATGCCTTCCGAGACGGCTTCAGAAAGGCGCCGACGCATCCGAACACCCTCCAGAGCGCTCAAGATGGTCTTAGAACACCCGAAGAAGCTCCGAACACGCCGCACCACGGCTCTAAGAGAACCCCCAGCAGCAGACCTGGAGAAAAAACTATGGTTTTTCCCATGGCTGTTCTTTATGATTTTCGCGTTCTCGCCCCTTCGGGCATCCGAAAGCTCAGACCACCCCAAAGACTCCCCAAACGAACCCACGTCAGCCAAGGCACCCCAGAGAGCCTGGACGCGGCCCCAGAATCCCTCCAGACGGCCCAGACGGCGCCAGAGGCCCAACAAGAAGGGCATTGAGGACGGCCTCGACAGGTCCCCGGGGCCTCTCCTCCACAGGAAATGGCCCCCGAGAACCCCGACATGCATCCAAGCGGCCCCGCAGGGGCTCCCAAGAAGCCCCCGGGGAGCCCCAACCGGCCCCCAGAAGCGCTTCAGGTGCTCCGACAAGGCCCCCCCCCAAGCCTCCATCAGGCCCCTGAGATGCCCTGCGACACACCCGCCTTCAGGATCCTGGGGATGCCAAGTGCCGCGGGAGACGGGGTTGGCTCGACATGTCGATGGCTCTCTACGAGCCTTTCCCCCTCCCCTGAGGTCCAACATCCTCGTTGAAGAAGGGCCCCAGAGGGCAAGGGAAGGGCGGGGGGGGTCCGGGAACTCGCTGGCGCTACTCCCGCACCTCTGGCCTCCAGTTCCAGCCCCCGTCGTCTCTCAGCCACCCTGGACGCATTCCACAACAGCTCCACATCTCTCCAGGACGACCAAGACGGCCCAGAATGTCTTCACGACGGGCCAGAAGGGCCCCCTAAACGACCCCAGACGAGCCCCAGAAAGGCTTCCCACGAGCCCGTCATATGCATACAAGAAGCTCCTGACCCGTAGATAACCTCCAAAATCGTCGCAAGCACTCGTTCCTTCCGGGGGGTCGGCGGACTGGCGTAGGCCGCTTGAGTCTTCCTTTCGCTAACAAGTTCTATGAGAGAGCAACAATACTCCGTTTCCAGAGGTGATCCTAGCGAAAGGTGCACCCAGCTTTCCGCGCAATTTGGGACCCCTGGGCCCTCTGGGCCCTGTGAGGGGCCCTCTGAAACATCTGGAGACCGTCTGGGCCTCCCCACGACCCCCGTGGGTAGGCCTCTGAGCCCCTCTAGGAGTGCTCCGCGGCGGCCCCGACAAGGCGGCAAGACCGCGGGAGCTGCTCTGCCCGTCGCCGCCGCCCTCTCCCGGCTTTCGGCCAGCATCGAGAGAAGCTCGACGTGGCTTCTAGCCGCCGCCGCCGCGGCCGCACAGTTCCAGCGGGGAGGCAGGGGGAGCAGAGATGGTGGTCAGGACAATTTGAAACTGATGATGTTGATGCGGATGTTGATGTGGATGTTGGTGTGGATATGAGTGTGGATGGTGATGGTGATGGTAATGTTGACGACGCGACGACGATGATGATAATGATAATGATGATGATAATGATGATGTCGATGACGATGGCGATGATGGTAATGGTAAAGATGATGATGAAAGTGGTGATGATGATGACGATGCTGATGATGATAATGATGATCATAATGATGGTGGAGATGATGATCATGATGAGCATGATCATGATGATGATGACGGCAACGACAGTGACGACGGTGGTGGTGGTGGTGGTGGTGGTGGTGGTGGTGGTGGTGGTGGTGGTGGTGGTGGTGGTGGTGGTGGTGGTGGTGGTGGTGGTGGTGGTGGTGGGTGGTGGTGGGTGGTAGTGGTGATGGGTGGTGGGTGGTGGTGGGTGGTAGGGGTGGGTGGTGGTGGTGGGTGGTGATGATGACGGTGATGGTTTGGTTTGGGCCCTGCTATCACCCCGAGGTGAACGGCTGCAAATCACGGTTCTGCTCCTGGCACACTACACGCGACGAAGGGTGCGCGGACGCCGGTCGTCATCGTCCTCCCAGCTCTTGTCGTTCATATCGGCAGGCGTGCGACAGGAGACCATTTTCGCCAAAAAGTCGATCAAGGTTGAGGCGGCAACCAGCTCTGCTGTTGCGGATGTCACGCAGCCGAGAAACACGGATGCAGTCTTCCACTGATGCCAAGCCCCATCTTGCAGCCAAATCTCTATCGAGCACCCTGCAACGGCATGCTGACCTTTGAGGCTCCCCTGCAAAAAACATCTCAAGTAAACGGTCCGCCCAGGCGCCGGGAAGCGCTGACGAGCGGAGTCGTGGGAGCAGTACTCGGTGCAATGGCGTCTGGCCGCCTTCCCAGCCAGCTCATCCGCGACAGCATTGCCTCTTCGAAGCTCGTGCCGGAGCCAGTCGCCTCCAGCCTCCGCCGGGATGGCTGAGCCATTGGCCGAGAGATCACGTAGTACACGCATAGCCCGTCGTAGCGGCGGCCCCACCCTCGGATTGAAGCAGCACCACCTCCCATTGATCCACTTGACGACGGCCTGGTTGCCCCCGCGGATGTCGATCATAATAAATCGAATGGGCTGGGCGTCATGCTCCGCCAGTCTGAAACTGGCCTCTGGCCTCCATTGTACCACGTGCGGGACGAATGGCCTGACTCGGAGCTGCGCCGCTCGGCACATATCGCCGCGCGCCCGTTGGGCACGACGACGCTGCATGTACTTTTGAGCCTGGCCTCGTCCATGGCCTTCACAATGAAATCTCTCACGGTCTTGCTCCACTCTTCTTGTCGAGCTCGCCAGCGCCAGTCCAGCCCCACATTACGATTTCATACGTCTTCCCAAAGAGCCCAACGACGCCAACCGACCCTGTGGACGTCTACGTTCTGCCGAAGCCACCCTGTATCCCACCTCCTGCGCACGTGCTGTCAGAGAGTCCACGCGAAACCGTTTGGCCATCTGCCATTGCGAATCGGGTAAAAGGTCCAACACTGCAGACAACCACCGGCGAGGATGAGAATGGTGGTGGTGATGGTGATGATGCTGATGCTGATGCTGATGCTGCTGATAATGCTCATGATAATGAGGATGATGACGATGATGATGATGATGATGATGATGATGATGATGATGATGATGATGATGATGATGATGATGATGATGATGATGATGATGATGATAGCGATGGTGATGTTGACATTGACGTTGATGATAACGACGCTGATGTTGATAGTGATGCCGATGTTGATGTTGATGTTGATGTCGATGTTGATGTTGATATTGATGTTGATGTTGATGATGGAGAGAACGCGTTTCACGGGCGCTTGCCTTGGGAACATTTGGCGGCGCGTTTCAAACCGTGGGGTGGGCCCCGCCCCCCAACACGCGGCGCCGCCGATCAAAACCAGGAGGACTCCCCTCCCCCCAAACCCCCCCCCCCGGCCAGATGGGAGTTACTGTGGCCCGCGCTGGCCAATCAATGAAAAGTAATATGTAAAGGCATGTCATGTTAGATCTTGAGCGATTCGCAGACCTTAAGGGAATGCCTTCCCGCACGGGCAAAAGTGGCTACAGTAACTCCCACTTGGAACCAACGTAGTAGTAGTAGTAGTAGTAGTAGTAGTAGTAGTAGTAGTAGTAGTAGTAGTAGTAGTAGTAGTAGTAGTAGTAGTAGTAGTAGTAGTAGTAGTAGTAGTAGTAGTAGTAGTAGTAGTAGTAGTAGTAGCAGTAGTAGTAGTAGTAGTAGTAGTAGTAGTAGTAGGAGTAGTAGTAGTAGTAGTAGTAGTAGTAGTAGTAGTAGTAGTAGTAGTAGTAGTAGTACCAGTAGTAGTAGTCGTAGTAGTAGTAGTAGTAGTCCTACTAGTCGTAGTCGTAGTCGTAGTCGTAGTGGTAGTCGTAGTAGTAGTAATGGTAAAAGTAGCAGTAGCAGTAGTAGTAGTAGTAGTAGTAGTAGTACTAGTCGTCGTCGTCGTCGTCTTCGTCGTAGTTGGTAGTAGCAGTAGCAGTAGCAGTAGTAATAAAAGTAGCAGTAGTAGTAGCAATACTAGTAGTACTGATAGTAGTAGTAGTAGCAGCAGTAGTAGTAGTAGTGGTAGTGGTAGTAGTCGTGGTAGTACTTGTAGTAGTAGTAGTAGTAGTAGTAGTAGTAGTAGTAGTAGTAGTAGTAGTAGCAGTAGTAGTAGTAGCAGTAGCAGTAACAGCGGCATAATCAATAGTAGTAGTCGTCGACATAGTAGCAGTAGTAATAGTAGTAGTAGTAGTAGTAGTAATAGTAGTGGTGGTGGTGGTAGTAGAGGTAGTAGTAGTAGTAGTAGTAGTAGTAGTAGTAGTAGTAGTAGTAGTAGTAGTAGACGTAGTAGTAGTCCTAGTAGTCGTCGTAAAAGTAATAGCAATACTACTACTTCTTCTGTTTTCAGTAGCAGTGTTAGCCGTACCAGTGGCAACTGTCGTAGTAGTAATAGTAGTAGTAGCAGAAGTAGCAGAAGTAGTAGTAGTAGTAGTAGGAGTAGTAGTAGTAGTGGTAGTAGTAGTCATAATAGCTAGTAGTAGTAGTAGTAGTAGTAGTAGTAGAAGAAGTAGTAGTAGTAGTAGTGAATATTAGTGGTGGTAGTAGCGCTAGTAGTCGTAGTAATCGTAGTTGTCGTGGTCGTAGTCGTAGTCGTGGCACTAGTACTACTAGTAGTAGTAGTAGTAGTAGTAGTAGTAGTAGTAGTAGTAGTAGTAGTAGTAGTAGTAGTAGTAGTAGTAGTAGTAGTAGTAGTAGTAGTAGTAGTAGTAGTAGTAGTAGTAGTAGTAGTAGTAGTAGTAGTAGTAGTAGTAGTAGTAGTAGTAGTAGTAGTAGTAGTAGTAGTAGTAGTAGTAGTAGTGGTAAGAGTAGTTAGGACTAGTACTAGTACTAGTATTACAGCTAGTACTATTCCTAGTAGTAGTCGTCGTCGTAGTAGTAGGGAGGGAAAGAAGGGGAAGGAGGGAGGGAGAAGGAGGAAGTGAGGAGGGAAAGAGGGAGGACGAGGACTGCCATGGAATTGGGAGTAGGAGGGACGCGATGGAGTAGGGAGGACTCCGGAAGAGTGCTGAGGAGTGCAATGGACTGGGGAGTGAAGGAGAGAGGAGAAGAGGAGGGAGGAGCGTGGAACCTTTTGGAACGTTTTGGCAACCAACGTCGTGCAGAGGGAGGGAGCGGGGGAAAAGGGCGCAGGGAGTAGTGCGATGGAGTGGGGAAGACTCTAGAGGAGTGGGGAGGAACGCCGAAAAGCAAGATGGAGGGAGTTTCGAGGAGTGGGGAAGGATGCCGAGGAGTACGGTGAAGTGTGGAAAGGTAGAGTGGAGTGGGGGGAGTACGGAGAGGGGGGGAAATGGAGTGAAGTGCGGAGGAGTGCCGAGTGCGATGGAGTGCGGAGGAACGGGAGGCTCTGGAGGGCTCCTTGGGGGGCTCTTTGGAGGCCTACTTGGAGGGCTCCTTGGAGACTCTGAAGGCATCGGAGAGTCCAAGAGGCTCTTCGGCTGCTCCAATAAGCTTTTCGGAGAGCCCATGAGGTTCTCCCTTCTCCAAGAGGCCAGAGGCTCTTCCGAGAGGCTATTCGGTGAAGGGGGGGGAGAGGCTCTTTGGAGACTCCCCCCGCTTCACCGTACTCGTTGATTAATACCCTCCGGAAAAACCCTGGCCATACTAACACCCACCGGGCCGTACTAACAACCAACTGGCCACAATAAACCCTTATAACCCTCCCGAAACGCCCACCCCTCGGCGCTGGCGCCGGCGCTGGCGGCCGCCAGCAGCGCCCACGGCGGGGACGCAGCGACGATGACCAGAGGCAACCCTGGAGGGGGGGGTGGTTTGAAACACCCCCCCTGGCGCCAGGGGAGGGGGGGTTCAAACCCCCCCCCCTCGCGCCGGCGCCGGCGCTGGCGGCGGCCAGCACCGGCCAGCAGCGCCGGCGCTGGCGCCGGCGACGGCGGGGACGCAGCGACACTTACCACCACTACCACCACCCCACCACCACCACTACCACCACCACCACCGAACCAACCACAACCACCACCACCGACAACACCACACAACCACCACAACCACCACCACAGCCACCATCACCACCACAACCACCACCTCATCTCACCATCACCACCACCACCACAACAAAAACCCACCACCACTACCACCACCACCAGTCTACCACACCAGCACCACCACAGCCACAACCACCACCACTACCAGCAGCACAACCCGAGGCCACCACCACAAACCACCACACCACCACCACCACCACCACCATCACCGCCACCACAACCACAACAAACGCCACAAACCACCGCCACCACCACAACCCACCACCACAACCCACCACCACCACCACAAACCACCACCACACCACCACAACCACCACCACAACACCTCACCATCACCACCACCACAAAAAGCCCACCACCACTACCACCACCACCACAATCTACCACAACACCACCACCACCGCCACAACCACCACAACTACTAGCAGCACAACCCACCACCACCACATCAAACCACACCACCACCACCACCACCACCACAGGCACCACCACCACAAGCACCACCTCCACAAACCACCGCCACAACCACAACCCGCCACCACCATAACCACAAACCACCACCACACTACCACCCAACCACCACCACCACCACCACCACAACTCACCGCCACCACCACCACCACCACAAACCACCACCACACCACCAAACCACACCACCACCACCACCACCACCCACCGCCACAAATCACCACCACACTACCACCCAACCACCACCACCACCACCACAACAAACCACAACCACCACCACACCACCACCCACAACCACCACCACCGCCACCACCACCACCACCACCACCACCCACCACCACCTTCCACCACCGTCGTCCTCGTCGACGCTCCCCGCCACCGCCGCCCGCCTCCGCAGGCGCCGGCGCCACCCAAGAAATGGAAATCGTCGTCCACGCGGGAGGGAGGGGGGGGGTTCGAAACCTCCCCCCCTCCGTCACGGGAGGGGGGGGGGCGGTAGGGGGGGTTCGAACCCCCCCCCTCCATCTAGGAGGGGGGGCGGCCCGGTTCCACCCGCCCCCCCTCCAAGCGAACACAGAACGCGCTCTTTCCGAAGTTGGTGTTGATATGTTTGTTGACGATGCGGATGATGATGATGATGATGATGGCGATGATGATGATGATGATGATGATGATGATGATGATGATGATGATGATGATGATGATGATGATGATGATGATGATGATGATGATGATGATGATGACCAAAATTATAATCATGATGATGACGACGACAGCGACGACGACAACGACGGTGACGACGACGGTGGCGGTGGGTGGTGGTGGGTGATGGTGGGTGGTGGGTAGTGGGTGCTGGTGCTGGTGGGTGGTGATGGTGGGCGGTGGTGGTGGTGATGGTGGTGGTGATGTTGGTATGGTGATGGTGATAGTGATGATGATGATGCTGATGATGCTGATGATGCTGACGATGCTGATGACGATGATGGTGATGATGTTGGTGATGCTGATAGTGATGCTGATGTTGATGCTATTGATGATGTTGATGTGGATGTTGCTGATGATGATGATGATGTTGATGTAGATGGTGATAGTGATGGTGATGGTGATGCTGATGCTGATGCTGATGCAGATGATATTGCTGACGATGAAGATGATGATGATGATGATGATTATGATGATGATGGCGTGGATGGTAATGCTGACGACGACGATGATCGTGATGATGATGATGATGATGATCATGATCGTCCTGACCATGATTACGATGATGATGACGACAACGACGGTGACGACGGTTGTAATGGTGGGTGGTGGTGGGTGGTGGTGGTGGGTGGTGGTGGTGGGTGGTGTTGGTGGTGTTGGGTGGTGGTGTTGGTGGGGATGATGGTAGTGATGGTGATGGTGATGGCGATGGTGATGGTGATTGTGGTGGTGATGATGATGCTGATGCTGATGGAGATGGTGATGACGACGGCGATGATGATGATGATGATGATGGTGGTAATGATGATACTGATGATGATGATGATGATGATGATGATGATGATGATGATGAGGATGAGGATGATGGTGCTGATGATGATGTTGATGTTGATGTTGCTGTTGACGGTTCATGTGAAGATTGACGGTCTCGTTGATGTTGAAGATGATGTTGGTAACGATCACGATGACGATGGCGATACTTATGATGATCGTCATCATCATGCTCATGATCATAATGATGAGGGTGACCACGACGACGACGACAACGATGACGAGGACGACGGTGGTCGTGGTGGTGGGTGGTGGTGGGTGATGGTTGTGGGTGGTGGGCGGCGGGTGGTGGTGGTCGTGGGTGGTGGTGGTGGTAGTGGTAGTGATGGTGGTGGTGGTGATGGAGATGGTGATGGTCATGGTGATGATGCTGATGATGCTGATGATGTTGATGATGGTGATGATGTTGGTGATGCTGATGATGATGATGATGATGCTGATGCTGATGCTGATGCTGATGCTGATGCTGATGCTGATGCTGATGCTGATGCTGATGCTGATGCTGACGACGATGATGATGATGATGATGATGATAATGATGCTGATGATGATGATGATGATGATGATGATGATGATGATGATGATGATGATGATGATGATGATGATGATGATGATGATGATGATGATGATGATGATGATGATGATGATGATGATGATGATGATGATGATGATGATGATGATGATGATGATGATGATGATGATGATGATGATGACGGTGGTGATGATGATTATGTCCTCGTCGTGAGCGCTAGGCCTAAGCCCATGGCGTGTCTTTGGTGGCTCCCTGGAACACTGGGACTATGCACCCTTAGTAGAATAGCGGTTTGAGCCTGAATCCAGCACTACGGGCTGGCCTGGGGGGGCAAATCCTGCGGGCAGGCAGGGGGAACAGGGGCGGTGGCCGGGACAAATAAAACAATCACTGGGCCACCTAACTTCGCGCATCGCGCATAGCGATGCGCGACGCGCCATCATCGTCGCGACCTCGCGAGGCCACCTTGGAGAAGGGCGCCTGTCCGGCCCTGGGCGCGACGCACGACGCGCGATTATCTTCGCGCCCCAGGGGATGCTCTAGCATCCTCACCCCCAACGGGGAAACCTTGGCCACGCTGGCACCCCCCCCTCTAAGTGGGGATGGGTACCGCCTCCTTCAAGCTTGGCGGCGCCGATCCCAAACCAAGGGGAATCTTGCCCTGACCCGGTGGGGGTGGGGATTGTAGAGGCCTCACAGATGGGGACCAACGTCTCCGATGCATCGCCGACGTCGCCGATGTATCGCCGATGCATCAGTGATGCATCGGCGATGCGGCGCAATCCTCCGACGCCATTTGGGAGGCCTAGAGACTGCCTATGGACCGAGTGTCACGGGCGACGTGAAGGTCCCGCCCTGTGGGTGAGGGCTCTGGGGCGGAGAGGGCCAGTCTTCGCTCTCCGTTGCCCACTCGCGGGCACGGAGAGAGCACAGCAAAACGCAGGAGGCTGATGGTGGCGGTCGGCTCCGTATGCACAGCGGTGAGACGGTTCTGACAATGGTGAGGCGCGCGCGCGATCTGTTTACAGACCTCTACGAGTACGCGACGAAATCCTTTTCAGAGGCTACCCTGAGAGGTGGGGCGGGGTGGAGGTGGAAGGCGCGAAGATGGAGGAGCAGGAGGTGTGGAGAGAAGGCAACCTGCCGGGGCCTCCCGAAGTCCCTGGGGAAGTCCCCCGGAGGCCTTCAGGAGGCCCCCTGAAAGCCGAACGAACACCACGAGCGTCCAAAGCCTGAACCCCCACCTCGGACAGCGGGCGGACAGGGTGGAGGTGTAGGAGGAGGAGGAGGAGGAGGAGCAGGAAGAGGAAAAGGACCAGTGCAAACCCAAGACTCATCAGCGATGTTGGAATAAACCCTCCGTCTAAGCTCCCTATTGGCAGGCCCCTACAAGGGTTCATTTCCACTGACGGAACTGCCCCGTTGGGAGACAACCGTTTGAAGACCCTGAAGCGTGCCGAAATACCATTCTCGGGACCCCAACGCCACGGATCAACCTGACTGATGCGCCTTGACGATCCCGAATCGTGCCAGAACTCCATTCCTGGGATTTCAACACCGCGAACCAACGTAACTGTTGCACCCTCACAAACACCATTTCTAGTACGCTGACCATGGGAATCCGCGAAACTCCCACAATCAATAAAAGCAACTTTGAAAGGCACTAATACGAGAGCCACATCTTGAACACAGACTGCCCTCATTCCGCGAAGCTCTTGCAATTTCTTGAACCGAATGTGCGCGGCCCTTCTTACCGTGCCTGCGGCACACTAAGCCGTGGAAGAATTCCAAGGGCTGCCTGGCAAGGCTTCTGTAGTCTTCTAAAAGACCCCCCCACTCCCCCCAGGTCAAACTTCCCTGAGCGCAGTGCCCTCATTACCGGGGGGGCCCTGGGCGGCCATGGAGCCTCCCTGGGGCTCTTCACCGTCTCCATGACGGCCCAGGAAGACTCCCAGACGGTCCAAGAAGGGCCCGAGTTGCCGAACGATCACTCTAAGACGCCCAAGATGGCCTCAAGATGGCCCACGAGGCCTCCTAGACGCCCCACGAGGCCTGCAAGAGGCCTCTCAAGAGGGCCCCAAGAGGCAAACATCAGTGATTTCCCCTAGGTGTTCGAAAGATCTGGACGTTCTCGCCTTTTCGGCTTCCCGACACTCCAAGACGGCTCAAGAGAACCCCATGACCACCCCAAAACGGGCCAAGAGGTCTCCAAGAGGACCCCAAGACGGCCGAAGAGCGCCCCGAGACGGCCCAGGAGGCGCCCAAGACGGCCGAAGGCGACCCCAAGACAGCCCCAAAAGGAGCCCCAAAGAGGGAACACGAAGCAAAAATCAGAGTCGTCCGCCCAAGAGGCCCCCAGGACGCCCCAAAAGGCGCCAAAAAGGCCCCAAGAGGCCCCCGAGAAGCCCCCGAAAGGCCCAAGGAGGCCCAAAAGATTCCCCAAGAGGCCCCAAAACGGCCCCCAACAGACCTCAAAACTGCAACCAAGAGGCTCCCGAGAGGTACCCCACGAGATCCCAATGAACATCCAATAGGCTTCATACCCACAACCCAGGCACGGTGGCGGGATTTGCCGCCAGCAGCTGGCTAGGTGCCCCCCCCCGAGCGGCGAAGGCGCTGGAAAAAGGAGGGGCACGGCAGCGCTTCATCGAAGTACCAGAGCTCGCATTCACGAGCCACGAGGTGGAGAAGGTAGAGGGGGAAGAGGACAAAGAAGTGGTTGAGGAGGTGGAGGTGGACGATGAGGAGGTGTGGGTGGAGGAGGCAAAGAAGGCGTAGGAAATCGAGGGAGCGCAAGAGGTGGAGGATGCGACTGTGCAGCAGGGCGGTCCGTGACGCTGAGGATGGCCCGGCTCCCCGGTCGCAGCAAGCGCACCGTGCCCCTGCGGCCCTCTCCGCTTCGCTGCCGCCGCGCGCGCGGGCGACACTGGCAATTCCTTCCGAGATTCGTTCCGCCCCCCCCCTACCCACGACATCATGAGCAAACCTCCTCCTCGTCCTCCTCCTCCTCCTCCTCCTCTCTCCTCCTCCTCCTCCTCCTCCTCCTCCTCCTCCTCCTCCCCATCCGCCTCCCCCTCCTCCTCTTCATCCTCCTTCCCTCCTCCTCCTCCTCCTCCTCCTCCTCCTCCTCTCCTCCTCCTCCTTCCTCCTCCTCCTCCTCCTCCCTCCTCCTCCCCTCCTCCTCCTCCTCCTCCTCATCTTCCTCCTCCTCCTTTTTCTCCTCGTCCTCCTCCTCTTCCTCCTCCTCCTCCTCCTCCTCCTCCTCCTCCTCCTCCTCCTCCTCCTCCTCCTCTCCTCCTCCTCCTCATCATCATCATCATCCCCTTCTCCTCCTCCTGTTCCTCCATTTCTTTTCCTGGTGAATAAGTCCTCCCTGCCGCGCCACGAAGCCAGTCGGAAGGGGGGGCTAGGCGTTCGCCTCCGACTTTTGTACAACAAAAAAGCCTGAAGTCGAAGCTGCCAACAATGACACAGATGGAGGGCGGGTCGCTTGAAAAATATGGCTCTCGCCTTAGCTCCGCGCACATTCGTCTCAAAAATGCAAGAGCTTCACGGATGCAGGGCGGTTCGTTTTCAAAATGTGGTTCTCGCCTCAGCGCCGCGCACATTCATCACAAAAAACGGTTCCGTTCCGACTGAGACTCTCGACTTAGCGCCGCGCACATTCGTGCTAAACATTTGCGAAAGCTTCTCTGCTTCTCATGCTGAACCTTCCAGAGATGGTGTTTTCGAACGAGTCCTGGATTGTCAGGGCGCAACGTTATGTTGATTCGCGGCGTTGCAGTCCCAGGAATGGCGTTCTGGCGCGATTCAGGTTTGTCAAAACGCAGCAGCCAGGTTAACTCGTGGCGTTGAAGTCCTGAGAATAACGTGTTGACACGCTATCGGATTTGCACACGGCTGTCTCCAAAACGGGGCACTTCCCTCAGCGGAAGTAAATTGTTGATGAAAACTGCGAGGAGGGAGTTCGGAGGGAGGGTGCATCCCAACATCGTTGATGAGACTTTGGTTTACACTGGTTCTATTCTCCCTCCTCCTCCTCCTCATACTCCTCCTCCTCATCATCCTCCTCCTCCTCCTCCTCCTGTTTCTCCTCCTCTTCCTCCTCCTCCACCCTCCCTCCTCCCTCCTCCCTCCTCCTCCGTTTCCTCCTCCTCCTCCTCCTCCATTTGCCCTTCCTCTTCCCTCCTCTCCTCGTCCTCCTCTCCCCTCAACATCACGGGGGCAGGTTCCTGATGCCCTGCCTGCAGGGCATCTGGTCCCTGGCGTGCCCAAGACGGAGAAGACGGGACCCTGATGCCCTGCCCCAATTTCCAAAGGGGGGAAAGGGCGCAGCGCAACAGCGAAACGGCCAGCACCACCGCAGGCTACTGAAATTGAAATATAGGGGGCTGGCCTTTGCAACATCTACAGCGCCAGTAACCTCCTCCTGTCCCCAACTAGGGATTATGGGATTATGTCGCCCTGGAGCAGACAAACTGTTGAAATCTTCGTTCTATTCCAAATTGAAAGAAATCTGACAGGAAATGAAATCGCGAATCGGGAAAATCTCGAATTGGAAGATTGATGGTTTCTTTTCATACAGTATCTGTACACATAGTTCTAACATGTTATAACTATGCTATGACAACATAAAATGCCATATAATATGGCAGAGTACCATATAAAACAAATAATTCCAAAACGCAATAAATTCTATATCTACTTCATAATAGTCCATATAATGGGATAGATCATGACATAGTGGAACAGTATACTAAATCATAAACCAAGCCCAACTATAATACAATACAATGTGGTATAACCTAAAATGTGTCTGGGGTTTTAAAGATACACTACGTAAGAGTATAATGAAACAAAATATGATATGCTAAAATAAGGTATCGTAAACCATGCTGTAAGTAGAACTGATATGATATGGTACAGTGCTATAATATACAATAACTGATATAATGCAATACGATATCATATAATACCATAGAATGCAATACACAATGACATAATGTTATATAATATACACAAAAATAATAATGGATGCCTGGATCTGGAGGCTTGAAAAATATGTGAAAATAAACAAGACTGGAGAATTGAAAAAATGATGTGGAAGTTTGAAACAAATTCGCCGGCCCACCGGGCCAGAGGCGTGCTAAAATCTCCGGTCACTGGGGACCCCTGGACGAAAAGTGCCCTGGCCGATGCCCGGGCGATGCCCTGGCGATGCCCGGCTGACTCCCACAAAGCGCTCTACAAGCGAGCCAAGGGGGCGCCGGGACGCCCCCTAGACGGCCCACGAGGCCCAAACCGCCGAAAGTTCGTTCCAAGACGCTCAAGATGGTCTCCAGATGGCCCCAGCGGGCGCAAAAAAGCCCCAAGAGAGCCTCAAGAGACTCTTCAAGAGGGCCCCAACAAGCAAAAATCGCAACATTCCCTGGAAAAAACTTACATACTTTCTCGCATGTACGACGTCTGGGTGTTCACAGCGTTCAGAACTGCCCCAGACACCTTCAACATCGTCCCCAGACGGACCGACACGCCCACAAAATCGGCCCAAGAGAGCCCAAGAGGGCCCCACGCCAGCCCAAGAAGCCTCCAAGAGTACCCCAAGACGGCACAACATGGCTCCAAGACAACCCAACAGGCGCACAAGCAGGCCCAAGAGGGCCCCAAAACAGCCCCGAAAGGGCCCCAAGAAGCCCCAGGAGGCCCCCAAGAGGCCTCAAGAGGCCCCAACACGGCCCCAAAGAAGCCTCAAAACTGCCTCCCAGAGGCCCCCGACATGCCAACCGCGAGAGCCCCACCAACATCCACGAAGCCTCTGACCCACCACCCAGGCACGGTCAGAGGCGTGCTAAGATCCCCGGCAACTGCTTCACAACATTTCTATTTCGCACGCGCGGGGCGGCCCCTTGGGGTCCCCGGACGCAAAGTACACCAGCCAGGTCCCAGGTAGGGTCGGGCCAAACATGGTTTTCCTCCTGGGCGCGGCTTTCAGGCGCCCCAGACCAAGCCCCAAGCGGCGTCAAAGACGGTCCAAGAGGGCTTCGAGTCGTCGAACGATCGGCACCGCATTGAGAACAACAACCCGACAAACGACAGCGGCGAGGCAACATGGGCCGGCGGAGTGAGCGAAGCGATTGAATGAAAACGGCAGCCACCCCCCCGCATAAAAAAAACGGCGTCGGGCGTTCGAGAGCAAGTACACCTGGATTTGAAAGTTCGAAGGAAGTGTTGGGAAGTTGGAAAACAAACAAGTTCGGACATTCGACTCATAGTTTCCATGTTTTCATACTTAATTTTCGCCTGTGTTTCACACTCGTCGGTTGCTTGGCTTTGGTTTGACATGTTTGGCAAATGTCTAACATCCCGCGCCCGATCACCGGTTGGCTTGCCAAGTGCGATATGCGTCCAGGAGCCATCCGCAGAACCTACGAGGGACTGCAGGCGCTCTGCACAGAACCTACGACAGAACTTGTACCAAGGGCATCCACACTGAAGAATGCGCACGAAGGAATTATTTCAGACCGTCTTGGAGGTTTTCCTGGCCGTCTCGGGGCCTTCTTCGGCAACTTCCGATACCTCTTGGGCTCCCCTGGGGCCACCCATTCTAGCGTTCCTTCCGCCTCCGCCGCCTGGTCGGCGTCGCCGCCTTAATGTCCGTAGCTCCATGGCGGGTGGCCCTTCTTTCTAGGCTCCTGTTCTGTCCCGTCTGCTTGCGGTTGCTCCCCTCCCTTTTCCTCGTCTCCCGTCCCTCTTTGCCTTCTCCTCCCTCACTCCTGGTTTGCTGGCTCACCTCTGCACCTTCCCGCCAGCCCCGTCTCCCGCCCGCACATTCGCCGTCGGGTGCTTCGAGTTCTCTCTCTCCCTGTCCGTCGCCGCGGGGCACTAACTACTGGGAGCAGGCGGCGCCAGCGCGGCATATCCACCTCCTCACCTTACTTATATGAAGGGGCCCAAGGACACACAAATAAATACACACAAATAAAAAGATTCCCCATAGTTTCCCATATTTTCTGGGTTTCTGTCTTCCCGCCCAATTCCCATATTTTCCCATATTTTCCTGGGGAATCGACGATTAATTGTGTCTGTGTGTTTCTTTCCCTCCTGATTATAGCACGCCCGAATATCATCTAGAAGCAACTCGTGATGCCAGGCATGGCAGCTGGGGTCGCCTCCCGCCGCGGCTCGGCCGGTTCGGCGATGATGGCGGGCACCGTGGCCGTTCTTCTATTTGGGCCATCTCGACGCGATCCGAAAAGGCCCCTGGGGCAGCCTCGGGCTGGCAGAGGCTAGAAAAAGCGAGGATGCTCCAACTATTAGGCAGCCACAGACACGTCCAGGAGGTTTGCCGCGTCTGGCCCTCTTGGGGATGCTGATAGGGGCTTTCTGAGGGGAGCTTGCGGGTCTCTTGGGCCGTCTTGACGCTACCGAGGGCCGTCCTGGAGCGCTGCAGAGCCGCCTTGGGCAGGTCTTGCCACTCTTGGGGGACTCTTCGCGCCGGCTTGAGGCGGTCTACGGCCGCCTTCACCCACTTCGGGGTCTTGGAAAGTGCCCGCTGGGGAGGGGGAGCGTTTCGGAAAAGTGTGCTGACTTTAGGCCGGACGGCCAGGACGCCTGGCCGTATGAAAAAACGATATATACCAAGAGAGCGAGCGAGAGAGAGAGAGAGAGGATAAAAGAGAGAGAGAGGATAAAAAGAAAGAGAGGCAGGGTTTCTAATGAGTTTGGCCCCAGCGACTGGCCGCGAGAGCGCACTGGGAGAGGCCCAGAACCCCTCAAGAGGACCCCAACAGGTCTCCCACAAGCCATGACTTAGGCACAACTTTGTGTCCCAGCGCACCCTCCACAGGATGACCGTGGAAGCACTCGCCACAGGCCTCCAAAAATGCCCCCACCAAGAGGCCTTGCAAAGGTCCCCACTACAAGACGCCCTGCCGAGGCCCTAGTGATCCCCTTCAGAGGCCTCCCACGCTGGTCAAAACAGCAGAGCCCTAACGACTGAATACCATACGACCTTGCCCACCATCTGCCCAGCGTCCATTCGTCCCCGACGCAGGCTTCACGCGGCGGTGCGGAAGTGGAGTACCTCCCACCAGCATGCAGCTTCCGAGCCCCCACGAGCCACCAGAAAAAGGAAAGCCGCAGCTTCGTGCCGCGACGACCCCGGCGCTGGTTTCTGACACCGTGGGGACCGCTCCGCCTCGAACGCTCGGCGGTCGTCCGATCGCCGGATCGTGAACTGTTGGCCGATTCTGGGCCGCTCGCGGCGCTCAGCCTTGAACGCTCGCGGCGAGATGGCTGCCGCGCCGGCACGACACGACGCGAACCTACCGTTCGAGGCGGAAACTGGGCGGGTGCAGTGCACGGATCGACGACGACGAACCAAAGGAGGAAACGCCGACGAGCCCAGGGAGGGAAAGGCAGCCACCTGCCCCTACAGCCGGCGGCTCCCGTGACACCCGACGCGTGCCCCACCCTCGCCGTGTCCCACCCGGTCGACGCGATGCGGCGCCAGGTCATGGTGCCGTCTTTCAGCAGCACGGAGGCCACCACACCGGACCTCACAGACTGACAGACCCTGAGATCCTGGCGTTGCATTTTTTCACACGAGGCGTTTTCGCCCGGTTCCAGGCCCTGGGACCGTCGCAGATCGATCCGGCGCGAAAGATGCCGCAGAACGATGGGGTCCAGGGCTCTGGTCGCGGTTTTTCGCGGTGCTGCATTTTTCCCCAACGTCGGATCTTAGGGGAGAGGGACAGAGAGAGAGAGAGAGAGAGAAAAAAAAACAAAAAAAAAAAAAAAAAGAGAGAGAGAGAAGAGGAAAAAACTCAATAGACTTAGAACTTCGAAGCTCCACGTGGATTTCTTGGATCTGTGCTGAACCCCCTCCATGGCGCGCTGAGCGCGCCAGGGGCGCCACCAGAGTCGCCGTCGGGGGGGGCCCAGCGCCGATCCAAGAAACACATTCCTCACATCCTCAGTGGGGCTCTTGCTTTCTCTGGACACCACGCGCAGCAACCGAGGAACACATGGACACACACACACACACACACTTTGCGTCGGCGACTAGGCAGAGTCACTGCGCTGGCGGAGGGGCGCATGTGGGATGCACGAAACGCGAATGAAGCCGCGGTGCACGGGGGAGAGAGAGAGAGAGAGAGGAGGCCTGGCGCGCAAGAGGAGGGAGCCGGGCCCGCTCAGAGGGGGCCGGCAGCGGCGCGGGGGGCGGCGGGGGCCGGACCAGCGGCGGCGGGGGCGGAAACGCAACAGCAGTGCCCAGGAAGCCGAGGTCACAAGTGACCTGCGAGGCGCCCCCGGGGGCCGGCAGGGGACCGCGCCAGGAAAGTGCTGCCCGAAACTGGCAGGAGGGAGCAGCGAGGGCACAGCGCGAGTGCCAGGCATGAGGACAAGAGGCAGCGGCCAGGCGCCGTGGATGCCGAGGTCGCGGAAGACCTGCGAGGCACCCCTGCAGTGGCGCTAGCCGGGCCTGGCCTGGGGCGTCCAGAGTGGACCGAGCCTCAGGGAGAAGGGAGGCGGCGGCAAGGGAGGGGCGGGAGGGGCCGCCGGGCCGGAGGGGCTGGGAGGGCGGGGCGCGGGCGCCCCCGGGGAAGAAGGGCGGCCGCACCGGGCGGCAGTGGACAGGACGCAGAGCGAGTGTCCAGCTGGGGTGGGCAGGCGGAAGACCGACGCCGAGAAGGCTGAGGTCGCGGATGAGCTGCGAGGCCTTCGTCGGCCGACGTGAGCCGAACCGTCCTGCCAGGGACCAGGACAGTCCAGGCATCCCCAGGGGACGCGAGAACGGCAGCGAAAGAGAGCGGGCGCCAACGGGCAAGGCAGGAGGGGGGGGGGGGGAGCGCAAGCAGCGCCTGGCGGGAAGAGGCAGCCGCCCCGGGCGGAAGCGGCGGGCAGGCTGCCTGGGCCCAAAAACCTGCAAAAGGCCACCGCGTCGCCGCAGCGGGCGGGCCCTGGAGTGCCGGGGGGCGGCGGAGCAGGTGCCTCCGGCGGGGCGGCAGGACAGGGCGGGGGCGAGCGGCGGGCGTCCCAGGCCAGGTGGCCAGGAGCGGCTCCATGAGGGGCCGGGCGGCAAAACCAGCCTGCACTCGGCCACGAGAACGAGCCGGGCAGCACCCCACGGGCGGGGTGGGACGGGCGGGACGCGAAATGCGGTGAACTCAATAGACGTCCAGCGGCAGGGAGATGGCTGGAGCGGCGCGGGTCGGCCTGAAGGACGGGGGTAGGGCCGACAGCCCAGAGCGGCGTGGACAGAGCGTCACGTGGGGCGGGGCGCAAGATGTAAACGCGTGTGGAGCACCCAGTGTGGAGGGCGCCCATGGGCGGTCGTGCAGGTCGGGCCACGCTGTGGGGGTGCGCCCTGAGCCGCGCAAGGCCTGGGGGGGGCACCGAACTGGTGCACTTGAAGTGTGTATGGCCGCCGACTGCGAGGCGCAGCCGGCGAGGGGGCGCAGGGGCGGGCAGAGGGTCCCAGCCCAGACCGGGGCATGGGTGCCGGTGCCCGTCGTGCTGCGCACGGACGTGGTGCTCGGGCTGCTCCCTGACGTGCCCGTCGTGCTGCTCCACGCGGTGCTGGTGCCCTGTCGCGCTGCTCACTGACGAGGTGCTCGACACACTGCACGTCTCGCTCGTGGACGCTCGCGTTGTGGTGCTGGTCCCCGTCATGCTGCTGACTGACGTGGTGCTCGACACACTGCTCGTTGCACTCGTGGATGTTCGCGATGTGGTGCTGCTTCCCGACGTGCTGCTCAACGTGGTGGTGCTGATTCAAGTCGTGCTGCTCACAGAAGTAGTGCTCGACACACTGCACGTCTCACTCGTGAGACTTGGGAGGGTGGCCTGGCAGCGGTGGGACTGATACTCAGCGTATCGCGTCTCGAGTGAGTGCCGCGCCGCAGACACGCTCGGCTTCTATGCCCCCGATCCACACCAGTGCACAGGATGATGGTCGTGCCCTTGGCATGGCAGATGGCAGTTGTGCTGGCAGCGCTAATGGTGGCAAATCTTGGGAACTGATGGCTACATCTCCTCGTACTCTGCTGATGTCTCTGGTCGGCGGTGGACAAACCTCCTCCATTTAGTAAACCTCCCCTCAGCGAAAACAGCTTGGGACCGAAACCGACGGACCTGGACAAGCAAAAGTGACGGCCGCGACGCCCTCTCGCGAACCGAAAACAGCCAATTCACTAATCGACGTGTCAGGGTAGGAGGACTATCCACCCCCGAATTTCTCTGGCCTGGGACGGACTCCGCTGCCCGATCCAGCCTCAGGTCCGGCACGAGGTTTCGAGCTCAGGTGGGAGCCAGCCGTGCGGCGAGAGCGTGAGGGCTCCGTCGGCCGCGCCAGTCCCCCCGCCTCCTCCCCAGAGACCTTCTCCTCCCTTGAGCTTCAGAGACCTGATAGGATGGACGACCCGTCAACGATTTGTTTATACATCCGATGCTTGTTGCAGCTTTGGCTGAGCGAGTCCTGCCGATCGGGGCTCCCGCCGTGGGGACCGCCAAAACACTGGACGCTTTTTCAGACGCGCGGCAGGTCGCGATTGCTGGTCATGTGATCTGGCAGTGTCTCTGGTTCGAGTTTCGTCGACTTCGACCCGACATCGCTTCGCCGCCGTCGCCTCCTCCTCCTCCTCCTCCAGACATGCCATGTCTTGCTTTGTTCAATACGCGGTCCCCGAAGTCCCGACCCGTTCCCCAGGGCCGGTGGAACCAAAGCAAAGCTGTCTGACGGTCCCGGGGCCCAGCGAAGGCCCCCAGAGGTCGAAGACAGCGAGAACCGTCCGTCGTGCTATTTTACGACACGAGCATGTCCGAGCCTCCTCCTCCTCCTCCTCCTCCTCCTCCTCCTCCCTCCTCCTCCTCCTCCTCCCTCCTCCCTCCCTCCCTCCCTCCCTCCCTCCCCGCCCCCCTCCCTCCCTCCCGCCCCCGCCCGCCCCGCCCGCCCGCCCCCCGCCCCCGCCCGCCCTCCTGAGGAGCGAAGCACCGGGAGAGAGAAGGCGAGGGGCCCTCGACCTGCACCTGCCGCACCTTCCGCGCGAAAGGTGCCGACGTGATGAGGCTGCGGCGGGGCGGCCTCCTCAGCGGCAGGTGCAGGTCGAGGGGGGGGAGACCCGGATCTCGACGGTTTCAGCCGTCGAGGGCCGTTGTCGGGCCCTGGGGCCAACAAAGACGGCCCCAGAACGGAAAACCGCCCTCAGGGAAGCGGTCGGGACCTCGGGGCCGCGGATTGAAAAGATCATTTCGGCGGATGTCGGGGGAAGGCCCCCGGTGGCCTTCGACAGACGTGCGTAGTACTTCCTTGGTCTGACCCCTCCTCGAGATCCTGTCGGGGGCTTCTCCGGACTCAAAATCTTCCCAGCCGTTCGCGCCACTCTGAGGGCCCTCCGGAAGAGGAAGACTGAGGGGGGAAAGGGGGGGGGAAGAGGGGAGGGCGGAGGGCAGAGGAGGGAGGGCGGGGAACAAGGGACGGAGGAGGGAGCAAGGAGCGCGGAGGACTGAGGAGGGATCGGATCGAATCGGCTACCTCCGAAAGCACCTGCTACCAGGTCAGCCGGGGGAGGTTATCGATAGACGTGTCGGCACAGACCAGCGGAGGACGGAGGAGGACGGAGCACGGAGGAGCAGAAGGGAGGGCGCAGGGCGGACGGACGGAGGACGGATCACGAACGGAGAATGGACGGAGGACGGACGAGAATGGATGAGCGCGTTCCACTACTCGCAAAATCACTGCTCGCAATTGGCCTGGATCCCCCGCGGAGGACCTGCGATAACTTACATCAAAGCAGACATGTGTTTTTCGGACGCTTGCGAGTAGGCACTTTCTGCGAGTAGTGGAACGCGCTCGGTGAGAGAGCTGCGAGGGCGGGGACGGGCGGCAGCTCGGGAGGCCCGCCGGCACGGGAGGGCGGGGCAAGACTGAGGCGCGGGCGCGGAGGCTACAAAAACGCGATCCGGGGCCTGCGCGCCGCGCGGCCGGGGGCGGAAGGGGGGGGGGGGTGCTCTGCAGGGGTCCCTGGCCCAAGGTGCCCTCGGCTTTCCGTTCCATTCTGCAGCCCCGAAGCCCTCTAGGCCACGCGAGGAGTGCTCATGAGGCCGTGGGGGCCTCCTTGGAAAGCCTGAGGGCGCCTGGGGCCAGGCGCACTTCTGGCAACACCCGCGGGGGGGGGTGGGGGGGCGCTCCACTCGAGGCGGTGAGGAGGCCCTCCTGCTGCTGCTGCTGCTGCTGCTGCTGCTGGTCGTCCTGCTTCGCCCCCGCCCCCAAGACGCCTCGAGAGGGTCACAAGAGGACCCCTTTTTATCAAATGTTGTTGTAAAACGTATGCAATTGATGCTGCAGCCTGTTTGCTCTCAATGGCGCCCCCAGACGGCCCCAAGAGTGCCCCACGATCGCCCCGTCCTCTGAGCACTGTGTTCTGTGGCAACTCCTAGGAGCCTCCCACACCATCTCGCTGGCTCTTACGGATCGACGCTAGTCGACGCTCAATCGACGCTCAATCGACGCTCTATCGACGCTCATCGACGATGAAAAGGCGCTATCCCATCGACGCTGATCGACGCTAACGCACTCTAAAGATGGAACTGCAAGGGTATACCCGGCTCCCATGATTTGCTGCCGAAGCACCGTGGTCCTCCTGCGCTTCCGCGAACACTCTCGCAGCCCGATCGGCGACGGCGGGGCTCGCCGCAAATGCACCGCTGATGGTGAGACACGCCGTCCGGACGCCCGCTCTGTGCTCACGTGCGGCACCCGGCTCAGTATCTTGCTGCTGCTGCTGCTGCTGATGCTGATGCTGGTGGTGCTGCTGCTGCTGCTGCTGCAGCTGCTGTTGCTGCTGCTGCGCTCTTATCCTCCTCCCCGTCCTCCTTCTCATCCCCTCCCCCTCCCCCTCCACCTCCTCCTCCTCCTCCTCCTCCTCCTCCTCCTCCTCCTCCTCCTCCTCCTCTTCCTCCTCCTGCTCCTCAGCATCATCATCCTCCTCCTCTTCCTCCTCCTCCCCCGCCTCCTCCTCCTCCTCCTCCTCCTCCTCCTCCTCCCCCTCCTCCTCCGCCTACTCTTCCCCTTGGGGCACAGCGGAGACGCCACGTCGATGCGTCCCGCTGCTGGAGTGAAGCATCAACCTGTCTACGCAGCGGGCCGCGTCGCTCACGTTGGCAAGCTTTCGCTGGCGATACTTTACCCGTCACTGTTTGTGTCTCTACATCTTGACAGGCTTGCTGACTTCGCCTGTGTCGGACGGGACCGGACCTCCTCCTCGAGCCTCGGGGATGGGGAGAGATCCCCGTCCTCGTTTCTCGTCCTCGTCATCGTCCTCAGGTGGATGAGGGGGCAGAGGGGCCGAGCGGAAGCTGGACATCGAGCGCGGAAAGCAATGCGAACACACCATGGGCACATGTTATTCCACCCACCCACCCCATCCTGCAAATCTTCATCTATCATCCATTGCTTACCCCTGCAGGCTCTGCATCACGGAGGGCCGCTGCGGGTACACTTGCTGGCAAACTTCGACCAACAAGTTCTGGCAATGCGGCCACTGCATCTGGACCGCAGCACCCGTGGACCCCCATTCGTGGCACCGCTGGCACCTGCAGCACTTCTGGTGCCGATGCGTGAGTAGAGGAACAAAAAGCTGCATAAACATAACCTTTTGGATGTCCGCGCGGATTTCTTCGATCCGCGCCAGACCCATTTCCATCGCGCGCGGAGCGCACTTGGGGCGGCGCCGGAGGCGCCGCCAGGGGTGCCCAGCGCCAATCCAAGAGATCCGCGCGGGGTGTCGAAAGTTTATGTTCATGCAGCTCTTTCTTCTTCGAACACATACGCCTGGCCTGCCCCTTGGCACGCCACTGCTGTGATGCCACCTGGAAACGCCGTGCCGTCATAAGCTGAACGATGGGGACGGGAGCGGTGAGGATGAGCGCCAGACGAGGATCCACCGACACAGTAAGCGCATCAGAGAATAAGTCGGCCTGCCAGCATGTGCCCCACGAACATGAAAAATCGTTTCGCTCGTTCCGCTGGCCCAAACTGTCACGCAGTCTTGTCTCTATCAGTGAGGTGCAGTGACCGAAACTGTGCCCGAACACCTGCCCGACTGCGACCGAAACTGGCGCCCGACATTTTCCGACCGCGCCTGCGTGTGACCGAAATCTGTGGTTCGACACCACCCGATTTTCAATTTCGGTCACACATTCGGTCATACTACGTTTTCGGTCACAACTTCGGGCACGTTTCCGGTCACACTTTCTGTTTCGGTCACACGCCTTTTTTCCCAACCCTCCGTTGGTTGGGATCTTGCTTTGAATAGAGCAGTGGGGTCGCTGGCTCCCTTTTCCTCCTTCTCCTTCTCCTCCTCCCCCCCGCTCTCCTCTCGGCTCTCTTCTCTCGCATCCCTAGTGGGGGTGCGAAGTGCGAAACTGTCGCCACTGTCGAGGACTACTGGGAATGCCAACACTATGGGGTCCCACGCAGACCCAAACGGAACCCCGCCATACTGGGGGGGCTGCGAAGTGTAAAACTGTTGCCACTTTCGAAGGCTGCTAGGGGGCCAGTACAGTAGGGTCCCACGCAGACCCAAACGGGACCTCACTATCCCTGGGGGGGTGCGAAGTGTGAAGCCGTCGCCACTTTCGAGGGCTGATGGGGGGGCAAGCACAGTGGGGTCCCACGCAGACCCAAACGGGACCTCGCCATCCTTGGGGACTGCTGGGGGAGCCACCACAGTGAGGTCCCACGCAGATCACAAAAGGCCTCGCCAGCCCTGGTGGGGCTGCGAAGTGTGAACTGTCGCCAGTTTCGAGGGCTGGCGGCGCGCGTGCGCGCGTTTGGCGCACGCACTAAAAAGTGCAGGGAGGATGCGGAGAGGCATGGGCGAGCTAGGTGTTGACCGCTACTTCCACCTAGAACGGGAGCTTCAAATTTTCCGAGGCGCTGCAGCAACGCGGAGCGCTGGCCGCGCATTTCGGCATGGAAAAACGCGACAGCTCATTGTCTGGTTGCGTCTCCGTCGCTGTAGCCTTATCTTGTCCATGCTCCATGATCTCGCTGCTTCTGCCGAGGTGGTTGTTCGTCCACCCCGATGTCTTCCTTTTGCTTCTCCTTCCCAATACACTGCCTCCTCGCACTGTGTATCCCTGTTCTGCGAGTCGTCCATGCCCAATTCGCACGATACACATATCCGCCGTGCACCTTCTGCGAGAATTGGGCACGATACACATATCCGCCGTGCACCGGCGCTTGCACTGTTGCAGTCATACAAGTGTCGGCATACATCATCCCTTGGTGCCGATGGGTTGGGTACGTCGCAAAGAAATTAGCTACTAGGGGCCGCCAGGCCACATGAAAATTATAGTATCGTTGGCACTTGCATGCACGTTCGCGGGACATTTGGGCGGCCTCGTGGGGCCGCTTGGAAGTCTCGAGGGCTTTGTTGCGAGGGTCTTGGGGGCCTCTGGAGGCCTCTTGGGGGCCATCTGTCAATCACGGAGGCCACCTTTGGCGGAACGGATGGAAATCTCAATTCGGGTTCCTCCTGTGAGGCCCCTCGAAATGAGGGCCTCTGGAGCCCTCTTGGGGGCCTGGTGGACCGTCTTGGGGTTCTCTTGGGACGTTTTGGGGCCCTCTTGGGAGCCTCTTGGGCTGTTTGGGACCGATCTTGGGTACCTCTTTGGCCGTCTTGGAGCGTCGTAAGGCCGAAAAAAATAGAACCCAGAAACAAAAAACATAAAAACAAAAACAAAAACAACAACAAAAAAAACGCCGACTCAGTCGGCGTGTGCGAGAGGCTCTTCGACGTGAGGTCAGCCCAACCCAAACTGATGACGCCAGCCTCCTTGAAATCGTCGTCGGCGTAAGAGAAATCGAACAATTGAGGGCGATCGAACAACATGGAAATGACTTGCGTCGAAGGGACGCCCCTTCCCGTTGTCCCTTCCACCGGGGGGGCTCCCGGAGGGGGACCCCAGGGGTGCCCTGGGGGGTCCCGGGAGGGGCCCCCGGAGGGTTACTGAGGGGTCCCCTGGAGGGGCCCTGCGGGTCGTGACCCACCCCCCTGGCGGTCCCCCTGCGGCGAAGAGGACAGGGGGATGGTTTCCCTGCCCGCACTGGACCTCAGGACCCCCCCCCCCCGCCTGCGGCCAGCCGACCAGCCACAACTGGGGGAGCTGTGGTTTTACCCCTTTGGGGGAACCCATCGCGTAGATGATCTCTCGAGAGGGGTGTCGAAATCGATGGGGCCCACTGGGTAAGCACCACAGCTCCCCCAGTTGTGGCTGGCCTGGCCGTGCTCCCGGCCCCCGGCCCCGACCCGTCCCTGGCCCAGGCCTCAGCCTGACCTCTGGCCCCCTTGCCACAGCCCCAGCCCTGCGGCCCGGCCCCGGCCCCTGCAGTGGCCTCGGCCCCGCCCCAGCCCTGGCCCTAGCTCCGGCCCCGGCCCTGGCCTCAGCCCAGGCCCGCCCCCGAGAAGACAGACGGCTCTCCTCCTCCTCCTCCTC